ATTCTCTAGGGCACTGTTATTGGACAAGAGTATGGCAGTTGGCAGGGCTAAAGCTGGAGATACACCAGTAGAATTTCATTTGAAATGTTTTCTGAATGTTTGTTTGATTTTGTAATGGTTGTTTCTACTTGTCTGTTTTCTGCCACAATGATGGGGAGTGGAATCAGAGTCACAGGATGGAATTTTTTTTTCTTCTCGTTTTATATGAACATACAGAATTCGACATGTACAGAGCTGTACGTGCAGGCCGATTACAGTGTAAAGGACCATTTATTATGGACCTATGTAGCAAGGGTCTAAGGTGGACCTGCTTCAAACAACCTATTTGCTGGTACCGTCTTATCACAGACAGATTGAACAGACAAATGTGAACTTCCTGGTGATATGGTTTATATACTATACCCGTGCAGTGTTCTGCACCAAATGTGGAGATGCTGCAACATGGTGACAAAAGTTTTTTTTAGAGCCTTAGCACATGCTAGATATTTAAATATATTTGTGAAGACTAGTCAAAGTATATGTCAATTGCACCTGGATAGTACAAGTTTGAACCCTGCTAGCAGGTACTGGAAATAGCTTTGACAATATTTGATCATATGGATTAGGAGGGAATCAACACAATTACACACTGGGAATATGGATGTGTAAACTCTAGCTCGTACAGTGTTCAGCCATTTGACCTCTCCAAAGTACTACAAGACCTCACATTTCTTTCTGTGTATAAGATTTCTATATTTTAGACATTTGCAGGTCCCAACCTTTGTTATTTTGCACTAGCAAGAGCTCATGATATTTCCACAAGCTGGTGCTACTTTTTGTGCCAAGGCAGACATCCATTTCATTAATCATTTGCTTGGATGATCTCTCAAGCCTGCATAGATGGGAATATTGAACATTTATCTCCAGTTTTTTTTTAAATAAATTCTTTATTTTATATTTTAAAAGCTTTAACGGTGGTCACAAAAAGAGAAAAACAAGTGCATAAGTAGCAAATAGTTGCTCTCTTGGCACGGTCAAAGAAAATACACCAAATGCATTGCAAAGTATATGACAAAGTAAACAAAATAAGATATTTAAAGCGTTGAAAAAAATAAAGGGGAGGGTGTTCCCCCTGCTCAGCAAGTCAGTGACCCATATCTCAAGAGGGGGACATAAGTGTCCAAGTGCTTATGAGCGCATCTGTGGATCCGAGGGAGGTGTGTGAGGGGGACTTCTATCCCGAAGTGAAATGACATCCTGTCAATAGCATGCATAAGAGATGTCATTTTTAAAGCTTTAGTGTGCACAACAAAACAAACCAGAACAAGAGAAAAAATAAAACCAGTGTTAGGCAAGTGAATGTGAGTAGGTTGTGTGGTTAAGTGATGAAAAAGAAAAAAAAATGATATGGCATAAATGGGCCAGTAGTTACTAGGTCACTAAAGAGAGATGGTAGTAGGGCATATACCTAAAAAGGGTGGGGAAAAAGGAAAGGCAGGGAGGAGATGGATAAGGTTTCCCAATCAGGAGCAGGTCAGCGTTCTCCTGAGGGTAAGGTAGTCAGGGGACCGAATGTATTCCAACCAGGTTCGAGCGACTGAGGCAGAGGTATGTTTATATCATGGATACGGTCTAGTACTTGGCTTATGAGGGGGGGCTTCGGGTTTCTTCCAGAGTGCTGGAATACATGCCTGAGTGGCATTTACCACATGTCTGATCAAGGAGTGGGTATAGGAGCACAGCGGGATGGTGTTATGGAGGAGGAGAAAGAAGGTCCGGTCTACAGTTCACAGATACAGCAGATAAGTGTTTGAAGCTAACACCTTACATATTCAAAATGTTATACATCCAATGAATCTAGAATAATCAAATATAACATGGGTTTAAAATCAAATCTCAATGGTAAATATTGGATATTTATGGGTATATACAAGAGTATGCTGGTTGCCATTTTAGTTTAGTATGGTTATATTGTATTTTATGTACCCCCTATGCATATACATGACAGTAAGTGAACAGCTGGCTGCAACTCAGGTCAGCATCCCTGAACTTCTTATCTACTACAAGATCACAAGGACAGAGCAGTCTCCAGCACCCATCCATCTACTAGCTTGGAGAAGGGAAGAGCAAGGGGAATGTCTTGCTTTGCTCTGCATTTATGGAGACAGTTTACCAAAACAGATGGCTCCATATCACCCTGCAAGGGAAGAGAGCCACCCTAAAACAGGATATCAGGGCCACTGCTCAGGGACCAGCTGATTCTGCAGGAAAGGCATTTTAAGATCGAGGAGCAGCATCCATTGTGTGTGAACTAATCAGCATTTAAAATAGCTTAAACACTTCGACTTATCACTAAGCTAAGTAGTGGGGCTTTAAAAGTTCTTCTATAGTTAGTTGAAGACAACTCACACAGCATCACATTTGGTTAATGAGTTTTAGAAACACGAATATCTTTTAGTTACTGACCTAAAACAAGTACAGGGAATTTGTTGTACCCCAATTGTTGCATGTTTGATCCAAGCAAAAAACTAACGTTCAGCTCCAGGCCCCCTTCCAACCAGTTTACTATATCTTTTGATATATTTTGTTTCTGAAGTCCTCATGCAAATCACATGACACTGTTCTCTTCAGTCTTCTGGTGGTGGACAGCCCTCCAAAATAGTGTATATCAGTGAAGCTCTCTGTAGGACACTAAAAGAGGGCTGTATTGAAGCCACCACAACAGGACCCATGACACGCTGCATTTACAGTACAGTCCTAAGTCTGTTAAATAACGCTGGCGTCTTAACCAGGAAGACTGGACTTCGTCGTCAAGACAAAGTAGTGCAGGGGACAGTTCTGTATTCAAGTCAAATATGGCAGCCAGAGCTTTTTCTTCATATTTACCAAGGGACTATATACATTTAGCCAGGGCTGGGGCCTTAAACCACAAGCACTCAGTGAACCCTCAGACCTGTATAGGGTTGTATTCAAAGCTGGACTCAAAAGGCAGCCCTATCCAAATCTAAGCAGGCAACATGTACTGGAGGGCAGAAAATGTACGCTGGAAAAAATGAAATGTCAGACAAAATATGAAAACTTTTATTCCACACAAACAAAAAATTAACTTAACAAGATTTTAGAAATAGATTAAAAAAGACAAAACAGAGTAATAAGTGATAGGGTCTTAAGATCCCCTACTTTTACCCTTCAACATGTACAATCAGCAGTTTTAGAAAACTGAGAACATTCACAGTATAAAAGATTTAAATGTGCCGAAAAGGTGCCTTTGAATGAGAGGTAGAATACAGGAGTAAGACTTAATTCTCAAAACACTGTACATAATAGGGCTGATAGAAAAAGCTCAGTCCCAAATGTAAGAATACATCCTTTGCTTGTTACCTTATATACGGTTTTGAGTACACATGGTATTTTCAATGCCCTCTTTCACACTAGGGGCTAAACCTTATACACTCAAATTTAACGTGTTTATGTCACTACACCACTTTGGAACGTATTTGTGCAATAAGTGTAATTTTAGAAAAGTAATTTTATGGACAAGCAGAATAGGCTTTAACACCCTCCAGAAATCAGGTAAATGGAAGCCTGCTGGTTTTACCATCAATGAGCCCTCCACTCCCACAAACATCTGGTAGCTTTGAAAGGCCTTTGCCATAACATGCACAAGCCAACTGACAATTAGAGAACTATGAGGAGTGCTTTTCACCTCATAGTTCTAGCCGACCTGTGACAATTAAACTGTCACAGGTCGGCTCAGTAGATCAGGAAGTAAGCGAACACATACCAGCGCTCGCTTACTTCTCGATCCGGTCACGGCTCTCTGTCGTGACTGGATTCCCCCCTCCGATCCTCCAGCGCTGACTGGCGGAAGGGACGGGGGAGGGTACAGCTGGCTCTGCCTCTAGATAGGCAGAGCCAGGTATCATTCACACAGCTGGGCGGATCCAGACATCATTGTCAGGATTCGCTTCAGCTGCGGCGTCTCAGTATACCATGAGCTGTAGCTCGCTGTATACTGAGCTTAGGGTCACGGGAGGACACTAGTTTGTGTCCTACTATGGGGAAAAGCCCTAACCCCATAGTTCTCCTTTAAGGGTGGCTCTGCAAGCTGCCAGATATTTCAAGGACTGGAGCACACCATGCCGCTCATATGTGGATGCAGCATAAAATACTCTAGGATGTAAAGTTACAGATAGCATTGAGTCTGTGCAAAACAGCAAGCCTCAATGACAAAATCTATCCAAAAGCAATATTTAGTCTGAGCTAATTGAACTGGTAAACATGTTCACTAAAAAGGCATGCACACCTTTCAGAATGTGCAAATATTTACTGCAATCACAAAGGCCACTTGGCCTTTAATCAGGTAGTGTTGTAAACACAATCAAAGCTTTAGGCCTGGAAAAATATGCTCCCTCAGGAATGCAAGTTTTCCTTTAGTGTACTGCAGCACCCGTGCAATGACTATGCTAAAAAAAAAAAAAAAAAAGGCAGTTCTTTTCAACCATGAACTCACATTCCACGGTCAAGCTCTAGCAACGTTTTTGTTTTTAAGAACCTGTGCTGAGAAAGTTGTAGGCTGCCATTCTCTAAAAATGCCAGCTGTCTGGTTGTATCAACCTTCAATACTGCATGGATGACACGTATGTAGCAAATGAGATCAGAAAACCTGATCTGTCCGCTTGCTCCTCGTCACCAAAGTGTTAAAACCACTGCATCAAGTAACCAGTGGCAGCTTAGCTATTGTTTTAAGAACAAGTGGGTCAGCTAGGAGAGTTCCTATAACAAGCCAAATAAAATGTGTGAAGGGATTATCAGTGTTACATCATTGTGAAATACTGATTGAAAGACTGCAGTGACCATGTAAACAAAGATAATTACAGCTGCAGAAATGGCAAAATCTTTCCCAACTAGCTTGGAGGTGCTCAGTACCATACAGACTAGCACAGTGTTTATACTATAAGGTGAACAGTGCCTGCAGCATCGGGTAGGAGTGCACCCATATATTTTTCGCTACAAGTTCCCAAAAGTGTGCAAATTTGCATGAGTAATGCAGCAATGAAAGGCGGGTCCAGACCCGTGTGGCACAGCCCTTTCCTCCACAGGCTCACGTCATGTAGCGGGTGATTGCTCGGAGACCATACAGCAGTGCAGCTTGTAGCCTGGCTTCCAAAAGTAACAGGTTCAAATGCACCTATAAAAACAGACAAGTTCAAGAAGTGACTTCCCACTGGCAAAAACTACTGGCTACTTGCAAATCTGGCAGGCATTGGGGATAATTTCTCAGCATCCTAATATACCATATTGGAGTGTTCTGCATAAGCTGAATCAAATGGATGCAAAAATGCAAACATTCTTGGACTGTTAGTGCTTCTCCCTACATTTGTTGGTACATTCAATTGGTGTAACTGAAATTGGTGAAAAAATTGTTTACTAAAAAACAGGCAGATGCCTTTTTAGTTTGAAATGGAGTCGAGAACATTTTAACCACTTGAAGACAAGGGTGTTTAACCCCCTTCCTGGCCAGGCCATTTTTCAGTATTCAGCACTTTGATATTTATTCCATCATGCAACGCTGTACTGAAATTAATTTTATACTATTTTTTGGGGGACACAGCTTTCTTTTGGTGGTATTTAATCACCACTGGGAGTTTTTATTTTTTACTATATTAAAGGATAAATTACTGAAAATTTTGGAAAAAAAAAAAGTTTACATTATGTTATAATAAAATTACCTGTTTTTTTGGTGATTGATGGCCCTAGAATTATTGCTCACTGAGACATTCGCGGCAATATGCAGCATGTGGGGCGTAATGGGGGCAATTGCCTTTTTTGCACATATGCGCACCCGACGCATGTATGGGTGGGGACTTTAAAAGAAAGTGTTAGTTTACATTTTTTTGATGTGTGACTTTAAATTTCCCCCCCCCCAACTTTATGGTTATCACATTGGGGGCTAAGAAACCCCCCTATGATAGCAAACAGGATGTGACAAGTCCTCTTTATGGAGACATCAGGGGTCTCCAAGACCCCTGTCACCTAGGGACAGCCCAAACAAGCTGATTAAGCAGAGATCTGCTTAATCAGCTTCTGAAGCTGGAGAGTGACGAGAATGCGGAAGAGATGTAATATACATCACTTCCGCATTCTGACACCAGTGAGGGGACCGGGGGGAGAGTGTACCGATCTCCCTCTGACCCCCTGTCAGAGCCACTATGCTGGTCCCGGGCTCGCACTGGGCACAGCGGAGCCCGGGACCAGCGGGAGGGGGGCCCGCACATACCAGCACGTTATATAAGCGATCCGCTGCCTGTTTTTAAATGTTGCCACTTTACCACTTGGTTTGCGAGAGTGGGCGTGGCTGACGGGTGGTTTAAAATTACCTGCTCAGATCCATGGAGCTCTCAGCTGGTAGTCTTCATGGAGACATTAGGGGTCCCTAGGACCCCTGTCACCTGGGGACCCCAAAAGAAGCTGATGAAGCAGAGATCTGCTTCACCAGCTTCTTCTCTCTGGCTATAGCAGCCAGATGACTGACAGGTGAATGCGGAAGTGATGTAATACACATCACTTCTGCATTCACAGCACGGAGGGAGATCACCAAGGAGCTGAGCTCCCTCCCTTCTCCTCCTGACGCCCTCCCAAGCCAGTCCCGGGCGGCAGATGGGTTAGCGGATCCCAGGATTGAAGGTGAGGGGTCAGGAGGGGGGGCGGCACTCAGAAAAATCACGCCATACAACCGATCGGTGGCTATAGAGGAAACGAGCGGGTCTTTCCTGCCCGTGCAGGAAAAAAATGGCGCCTGGAGACGGCAACCCGCCAATGCGAGTCTGCCGTCAGTTTTTTCTTAACGGGCGGACAGCAGGAGGTTAAACTTCCTGCCGGCTGCGCCCTCCTGCGACGCAACCCGGAAGCCGCCGGAGGACAGTGGGGATCGCGGACAAGGTAAGACCTGTACGCTGTATCCCCAAGTGTGGCTCGGGGTTACCACTTTGTTAACCCCGATCCACACTCGGGAATACCAATGGAAAAGCGCGGAAAAACGCCCCAAAGAAGCTCCTGTACTTCTTTGGGCGTAGGGCGTTTTTCAGCGCGTTCCTACGCGCTGAAATACGCCCAGGTGGGAACCATGCCCATTGGAAAGTATGGGATTTCACTTGCTGGGCGTTTTTACAGCGCGTCGATCAGCACTGTAAAACACCCAGGTGTGAACCAGGCCTTAAAGTGTGGAACCAAGCTGCAATACCCCAAATTCAAGAAAACACATTTTCAAAACTGATTTTTCCAGTTATAATTATAACTTACCTTCTCTGAGTGCTTGAACTCCCTCCAGAAGTCATTATATAGTTGACGGTTTACTGTTTCTGGGTGACACGTCACAGTCTTCATATACACTTTAAGGCTTCTCTCCAGCAGCTGATTCACCTCACCATAATCATAATCATCATATCTACCAGGAGAAGAATACAAATAAGTGCCATTTAAACAAAAACACAGTAAGCCAAGAACCATCTGAATAGTGAGCAACCATATTTTGTTGTCCTTACCGGATTCCAAAAATGCATTGGATATAGTTCCATATAGCTCTACGCAGTTTGAATGTATCCACTTCCTGATGTGAGGCAATTGTGTGATATGTTAAATTGTAAGCTACTTGGAACTTATCATCCAGAAGTTGTCCCACTTCTGGGTACAGCCTATGCAGCAGTGAATATCCATGATCTTCCCATGTGTAGTCCTGGAAAAGAAAAAAAAAAAAGTGGACATTAGACAGCAAAATATTAACAAAACCAATCCTTACTATTTAGGCAACATGTAGAAACAAAGCTATAGCTTAACCTTTCAGTTGATTGTAAGTAAATCCCACCTCCCCACCCCAGGCCCTCTAATGCTAAACCTAAAATCCCAACCTGGTTTTAGGGGTTCTAGGGTTCTCCTGAAGTTAAAGGCACAGGTTAATTAAACCCCTCAAGCTCTCTCGCTAACCCACATAACCCATGGCAATTAGCTCCTCAGACAGCAGTAGCCTCCAGCATTGTTTACATCCTGGTCCCGTGCTTTCCGCATCTGCACACTAACATCCCTGTACTGCAGGAGCAACGTCCTATTTAGGTCTATGGGATATTAGTCTGCAGGCAGGCCAGAAGAGGTTAAAATGTGCAGTGGAGGGTTAGGGGCTGTGGGTTGAGGAAAAACAGCTTGGGCTAGAGGGCATTTAGATAATTAGTAAACTAGTCTTAAGAGTTTAGATATGTGCAAGCAAGTATGGGTGTCTACACTTAATACAGACAGCAAATGTTTTCCATTAATGAAACTTTTCTTTTATAGAAAAAAAAAAAAAACTAAAAAAACCTTACGTTAAGTCCATCACAAACCAGAGAAATTTAAAGAGGAGAAACTATTGATTCCAGAATCCTGACATTGGGAAGCCTTTCTAGATCTAACAATCTCTTATTTTACTTAATTTACTTACATGAGCACGGAATGTAGGAGGAGCTTGTTCACCTCTCCTGCTGAAATCAATGTAACCAAACTCGGGATCGTCCAGGAAGCAGAGAATGCCAGGAGAGCATGTAGATTGAACCTTATCATCTGCAAACAAGAAATAGAAGAAGTCACGCGGTCATCCCAGATAGGACAACTACTCACAAAAGGTATATGTAAAATATGGTGCACCATACACCATTGACAAGCCTTCTATACATATGTGGTGTAAACAGAGCAAACATACCAAAGACTTCACTTACCATTAGATGTCACCATAATGCATTCTCGCTTCTCCCTCTCAAATCTTGTCTCCATTTCCTCTCTACTCGTCTCTTGTTCTTCCTCATCCAGCTTCTTCATTTCAGCCAGTACACGCTCTGCTTCTTGTGGAGTGCTTGACCCCTGCAGGTATGGATATGGATATATTAATGTGACATGACCGCATTCAATAGAAAATATTGTGTTCAATTTTTTCAAAGAGGGAGCAATATTTATGAACGTTCTTTAGGCACATTTTTACTTCAATGTAAAAAGTCTGTTTTAGAACTACAGTATTAACCGTTCAGAAAACAAGAGATCCAACATACCAAAATTCAAGAAGGGTCAAGCACTTTTTAGTACACGTCCAGCCCATTCATAATGAATTTCACAGTAATACTTTATCCAGGTAAAATAAGGTATTTTTAGTATAATGGGGGGGAAAGGGGCCGTGCTCTTTGTTACGTTGGCAGCCCATTCAAAATTAATTTCACATTGAGGCTATCCAGGTAAAAAAGGCATTTATAGAATGAAAACCAGGTTCTTTTGACAATACATACCTCATTCATGGATAAAACAGGAGAAGGGGGGCGTTCAATCTTTTGTTCCTCTGGAAGATAGATGCCACATCCCAGAATAAAAGAGGAAAGGCTATGGAAGTGGGTGAGCAGGACAAGAGCTTGGATCAGCTCTGCAAAAGACCAAAAGTTTCCCCCTCGGGAGCTCACAAGAGACTGCAGGAAAGAAAGCAACAAACATTTACTATATAGACACAAAATCAAACTACTTTCTTATGTAAAACCTATTGTCATAAGAGATTAGTGCTGTAACAGATGGTATGGGCCCATCAAGCTGAGGAAAAAGCAGAATATGGAGAATATGGTAATCGTGCATTTATCCACAGGAAAGATGGCCAATATGAAACCAGGGGCCGATACAGAAATTGATTTAAAGGGTTTTCTACTCTCCAAAAGCAAGGGAAAAGTCACTTCAATGGCAACTCTGAAAGGTTGGAGCAGACGTGTGAAAGGCAGATCAAGGGTCTTCCAAGGGCAGTGCGGGCATTTGCCAAAACCCTCCAATAGCACTTTGTTGAAAAGAAAAAAAAAAAAATACTGTATTAAAAGTGGAATGTGGTATTCAATAATCCAGCAGCCACATAGGCAGCATCTGCACAGGAATAAAATCATGACAAGCTTTCCTGTAATATCAGTTGCATGCATCACTGCTGTTCATATGTACAGAATATTGCATCATCAGGCTGTTCTATTTTTCCATCAGTCATTGTATGATTTGTTTATCAAACAGCTTCAAAAATAACGATTCATTTACTCACCAGACCGGAACGTGTTTACACGTTACAATCTTATTTACTCCAGACCTGAACGTCATCAGCAGCGCAACCTGTTCAGCCATCACCTTCATACCCCCCTATGAACCACAACAGTTTTTACATTTCGGTTACAGCCCAGTTTGGCATGAAGCGTCATTACTCATGATAAATGTATTTATTTTGGGACACTTTCTAGACTCTTTTGGTGATATCTTGGAAAAAAAAATCTAAGCCACTGTCCTGCTAAAGACACCAAAACTATGATTCTTAATTGTAGTTTTGGTGTCTTTAGCAGGACACCAAAGTTATTTGCAAATTAAATAAGACTTCAGTTTTAAGCATTTACAAAAAGCCCCAAATAAACTGTCCAAAAAGTTGATAATTTAAATAGAAATGAAAAGAAAAAAAAATTATTTGGCAGAATAGCTAAGGGGAGAATGGCAAGGAAGAGCTAATTCGAGGTGATTAGCGTTCAGGATAAATATTGCAACATTTTTAAAAGCTGTATTTTACCAGTAGTGTTGCTTAACCTCATCGTGATTACAATACGCATTTGTAAATTCGAATGAAAAATGCCCCTTGCCGTGAGAACGCCAATTAACAAGGAATGCGCAATTGTATGTGTTCCTAATGCTCAGATCCAATGTAAAAAAATTAAATAGACATAGCGACACCGCTAAATTTAGCCTGGGCATCTACAGGTCAAAAATCTCTGGTCACAAAAGGGTTACCTGGCATCATATGCAGTTCATAAGTCAACTCAGGTACTAAAACCATAACAATGTTAGAATCTATTTTTGAATGAGGCTTCCAAACACTGTTCAGCAGCTCTGTTTCAAGCACTAGCAGCTTGAACCCAGTGCCATTCTGCAGAGCAAGTCCCAGCTGCCAATTTGAGTCAGGATTTTCTGGCAAGCAAGGAAGTTAGGGAGCCACAGAAGGACAGGGTGTATGGCATCCTTTGCACTTTGAGGACTTATTCATGGCATACAGAACATGCCCGTAGTCTGCACCTGGTTAAAGTTACAATCACAGGCCTGAGCATATGATGAAAATGCATAAGCAGAGGTTACCTTTAGGTCAATACAATATGTAGTTTAAGATACAGGCAACAAGATTTATACTCAAACCCCAGCACCCCGCCTTCTTAAGTCTCAATGGGCACCCTCAGTAGGGGGCTGGGGAAGTGGAATGACAACCTTCCCATGCTCCTCATATTTCTGCATCTGCCAACAGTTTTCACAAAGTGACCTCTGCTTGCATATTTCTTCAGTTTGGCCAGCCAAAGTGTCGTAGTTTTACTTTAAAAGTGAAAGGTGGCCTAACAGCGGATAAATCTATTATTGGCAACCAAATTTCTTTAATATCAGTCGTATCAGCTCTGGGCCACATATACAAATGTTGCTGCTGTAAAAGCTGTGTTCACAGCAACCTGATTCAAGCTCATTCTACAGTAGTGTTATAGTGCAGGTCTAACTGGTTACTCTGGGGCATTAGACTGTTCTTGTGCGACATTTTAATAAGCCCCTTTGTGTACAAAAGGGGTCTGGTTTTTGTCAAGTTAGTCAGCTCTTGCATGACTTGCCTGTTGTGCTTGATTAGAGTGCTTGCTAGAGATATTTGGCAGAATACATTTCAGACCCAACCTACCATTGTAAAACATGCATTTGAAAATATTGTGTATACCTTTCTAGCAAGTTAGCATAGATTAAACATAGAACTTGCATACTACTAATACCTTCGCCATATTTGGGCTCATTGAAGGAGTCCATTTTCTTAAAGAGTCCCTGCTACATAGTGACATCCTGTAGTCACTCACCTCAATGTGTTCTTTGGTTATAAGCCATGGTCTATGAGCAAGGATCTTGTTTAAATCATTAAGTCTGCGCAGTTTGAGGGGTGCAGAATCAAGGCCTTCCAACCAACGAGGATCCCCACCAACTTGAAGGAAATAGGTTGAATGCAGTGAAACCAAGTAGACACAATGATGGCGTGCAGCTGCCTAAAATGGAAAGATGACATGAAACCTTTAAAAATAGGAAGGGAGGGAAATAGTTTTTCAATTTCTGCAGCCGAATTGGGAACAAAGGGTTAAATATCTAGAAGCATTGTATGTTAATGAGAGGAAGCTCAGCCTAGTCTTTCTGTGGGGACAGTTTCCTGTCACTTGGAAATAGAGAGATGCTTACAAAGGCTGCTACAGACATCTATTCATACAGCACACCTAAAAATATCTTTATTTTTTAGAACAGTGGGGTTTTTCCACCTTTGACTGCAAAAAGTGGAAACTCAAATTAAACCTGTGCACAAAGCAAAGGGATTACTTTCTTGCTGGCTTCACATACGGTTATGCCCGCTTTGATCCCTCAAAGTTCTATACAGTGAATCGGGCACCAAGCATTGTCACATGGAGATCAGAGGGGAATTCTTGGCAATGTGTAGTTGGAACTTGGAGCTTATTCAGGGCTTTTCTTCTGTTGAGGTGGTGAATGTAAGGCAAGGAATAAGCAGCTACAGACACCACCGTTAACAATACATTAACCAAGGATACTGTAGAAGACCAGCTGGCAGTAATTCAGGTTCCATTTTACAGAAACCTAAACCTTGCCAAGCCGGCAGTGCTACTTTCAGGAGTGTCTCAACTGCATCACAGGGTGGAGTGACTAAGCCAAGCGAGCGTCACTTTTATTTTTTACTTGTACACAGAAATAGCATCATTTGCATTTTTTATATATTAAAAAACACATGAGCAAAGGATGCTACTTGGCAAAAGTTTTGAACACCAAACCTTGGCACAGCGGAAACAGCTGTAGTGGAAGCCATTAAAGCATGTCTAAACCAAAAGAAAAATATGGTGCCGATTACCAGTCCATTTGTTTCTCTTTTCAGACTCCCTCCTCCCCCCCTTTATTTTCACCTAATCAAAGGTTCATATATCCCATTGCACTCCTGACCGGAGAATGCCCAATGTATCAGGGCGGGTGCAGCAGCGACAACGGATGCCTCCGTCAAAACGTCCAAAAAAAATAATAGTCACCGGCACTCCAAATCAAGTCAATGAATGTATTGACCCAAGTGATAGCACCTCTAGCAACGTTTTGGGACCATGTGGCCCCTTCCTCAGGCAAACAGTTTGCTAGAGGTGCCATCACTTGGGTCAATACATTTATTGACTTGATTTGGAGTGCCGGTGACTTATTTTTTTTGTACGTTTTGACAGTGGCTTTTTTTTATTTATTTTCACCTGGTAACCCTGTGGGTAACAAACACTCCCTTGTACTAGGTTGAAAACACTCACTGTCCTACATGTATAGCAGTGAAGCATTACAATAGCAAAAGTAGTGTTTCAGGGCTACAGAATGCCCCTCTTAACATAAAGGGACGGTTTCTTGAAGTCAGCAGAGAACGCTGATAATACATACTGATAAGAGCGCAGCCGAGGCAGAGTGCACATAGCTACATGCTCACAAAATTATGAGCAAGATCAACATTGTTATTTTTGCACAGATCTATCAATACTGATGGGATACAGCATGAAGCAGAAAAGAACACATTGAAAAAGCGTTTGTTAGCGTTATTTATTTTAATGCTGGTCATAGACCATGCAAGTGTTTTAAGAAGGCTGTCTTCTCCTGCTGGTCTTGTGACAGAAGCGCTGACAGGCAAAAAGAGGGAGGAGTAGCTTTGCTGTCACAAAAACAAGCCTGTTGCTAGCACAGAGACCTGTAAGGCCTGGTTCACACCTGAACGTTTTGTAGCGCGTTCAACGCTCAACGAACGCTCTACAAAACGCTCAAACATCTAAATCCCATTGTATTCAATGGGTCTGGTTCACACCTTGCCGTATTTCTGCCTGTCCGAACGCGATACAAAACGGCCTACGCCCAAAGAAGTACATGTACTTCTTTGGGGCGTTTTGGTCTCGCGTTTCCATTGGGATACAGCCAAGAAGCCAACGGAAACGCGCGTTTTTTACCGCAAATGCATATTCAATACGCCTAGGTGTGAACCCAGCCTAAAGGTTTCCAGTTGATTGATAAATTGGTTACCAGAATAAGATCCACTAAAGTCAGAAGGCCTTTTACTGCAGTCTGCAAAGCACTACTATTACTACTGCTAAAGTATTAACAAAGATGTGATAAGTTTTGCCGTCATTAGCCAACCCTGTTATTTCTTGGCATAATGCTCTAAATATTTAAATTTAACAGTGAAAACAAATCTACACTACACCCCCTTCCATCATATGTAACTGTTTCTGCAACCTTAACACTTCATCTTAACTCTTAAATAGCTGCCTCCCAAGAAACTAAACAATCCTTAGCCAGCCCTCAAACTACTAACCATTATCCCTAATGGACAACCAAGCCAACTGGACAGCACGGTCCACCACTGTAGAGGAGCATGCTTGTCCAACCCTGTCTTTTTTCATTTCAACAAAGCACTAAGCCCTCGTTCACACCTGAACGTTTTGTAGCGCATTCTACGCTCGACGAACGATCTACAAAACGCTCAAAAATATAAATCCCATTGTATTCAATGGTCTCGTTCCCACCTTGGCGTATTTCCGCCCGTCCCTAATGCGCTACAAAACGGCCCACGCCTGAAAAGGTACATGTACTACTTTGGGCCGTTTTGTTGCGCGTTTCCATTGGGATACAGCCAAGTAGCCTGCGGAAAATCGCGACGGTCGCGCGACTTTTACCACGAATCGCGGTAAAAAACACGCAACTTTTTTACCACGAATCGCGGTAAAAACGCGCGACGATCTTGCATATGCAATACGCCTAGGTGTGACCGAGACCTTAAGCACACGCATACAAATAAAAAAAAAAATGCAGCTTTTGACAAGATTCTGCTACATATGACCTACTTTGCCTGCAGTTCAAAGGATACATCTAACAGTATACCTACTGGCGTGTATTTGAACTGTCACCTACACTACATCAAAGTCAGCAGGAATTTGCTGACTTGGATTTGGCACATATGTCAAATGCAGGAAAGTGACGTATATATGAGCCCTAAAAAAATATAAAAGCACAATTGTAAACATTCATAAATCACACATGTAGAAAGTGCACCAGAAGAGTCTAGGCCATGCATGTGGCATGATCAAACCGGTTTTCAAAAATCAAACTATATATAGTAGGGCTATTCAGATACCAAGTACTGTACTCAGTACAAGTACTGATACTTTTCCAGCTCAAAGACTAGAGAAAAATTCAAAAGTTAGGAGGCAGCTGTCATTTTGAAGGAGCATACAGAGCTCCTGGGATTGTGCATCCCTGATAGAGCTATATAGATATATAGAGATTAGGGCTGCACCGATAAAAAAATTTCAAGTACTGATACTTGTCCAAGTACTCAGATACAAGTACTGATACATTTTTGTTTAGCGTCATGACAGTTTTTCTAAAACAATACAGACTAATGATTTCAGGGCAGTGGTGGGGACAGCGCTAGGTCACAGCTCCAACCCTGCTAGTTCTTGTGAAAATGTTAAATACCGGCACTGGTATCTGAACAGCCTCACTATATAGTGTCACCAGAGATTCCAATTCAAGTTTGGTCCTTTAATACAAAAGTGGACCCCCCCCCACCCACTGCATTTATTAAAGCTGCTTCAGCACCATCTCCTGCAAACTTACTAATCTAGCGCCAAGCCTTCTCCTGGTTGAACGAGGCCCAGCATTATTCAACCCACTTCCTGTGAGCATAGAGTGTCAATGCTTCCCTTGCTATAGTCAACATCAAACTTCCTTAAATGCTAATAAATCCATTTTAAGACATGCACAATAATTTTATGACTCACCATTATGGCAACATAGTGTCTCTCTGGGAGGGACAATGGTCCATCCATGCGTAAAAGCTGTTGCTGTGTCTCCCAGAAGACTCGCAGATACTCAGGATGAAGGCTCATGACTGCAGCAATGTTGTCACTCACAGCTGGGCCGGGTAGCTGGCTCACTTGTATATAAGCACTGGGTCCGCTGTTCTCCCTCTGTCTAATCAACTCTCCTTGATCCTGTTAAAAATCAAGAAAGTTTCAGCACATGATCCAGAAAACAAAAAGGCCTGTTCAGTTATTTGTGACTGATAAGTTGCACGTGTACATGCATGCTTTGTGCAACTTCAAGTGTTAATTACATCATTCATTTCTAGGTTCCTATGCTGCCCCGGGCAATAGAAACACCATGCAAATGGAATGCAGTAGAACATACTGATCAACTACATTCTCTACATCATGAAAACACTTTTTTTTTACTCGTGTCACTTCATGTGCAATATTGGCTCTGTTAACATGGAAAAGAAGCTTTAGATTACATCAGTGTGTCTCAACATGAAAAACAATCCATTCGATTACATCAGTGTGTCAACACCAGTGCTCAAGTTTGACTAAAGTTGGTCATACACTGCTAAAAATTCATCTGAACCCTGCTGTATATTGAAATGTGACTGTGGCCCCTTGGGGACACCTGCCCCTGTTTGGGATGGATGGGGGAATTGAATGTTCATTCCCTAGGTGAGAACTGCTATGGCAGAAAACCAACTAAATCTCTGCATCAGGAAAACATGAGCTGCTGGAGATCATACCTGAAAAACACACTTGGGGAAGAAATCAAAGCTGGAGCAGATTTGCACTGCAACCAGCTTCTGTCCTTTTCAAATCTTATCTGAGCAAACTCAAGAGGAACTGATTGGTTGCCATGGGCTTCAGCTCCAGTTTTGATAAATTACCCCCATTGACCTACACTGTAAACATTTTAAAAAGATTTAAGTCAATGGGGGCAATCAAAACTGGAGCAGATGACCATGGCAACCAATCAGCATCTAGAGTTTGCTCAGGTAAGATTTGAAAATGACAGAAGCTGGTTGCAGTGCAAATCTGCTTCAGTTTTGATAAATGACCCCCATTGACTTACACTGTAAACATTTTAAAAAGATTTATGCAAGCCAAATATTTGAATTTGTTTTTATAATGTGATGACCATACATGGCTCATAGGATTCTTAGACAACACAATTATAAAGGATTGTCAGTGTTTTTATGATTAGCTATAGTTATCTGTGCACAAACCCAAGCACTATAAAATCTGATATATAGAACCTTCCTAGACCACCAATATAGGTTTGAAAGTATGTATACCCAGAACCTTTTGGTTTTACTTTTGGAGTGGGGAGAATTAAAAACCCCTACCAATTTGCTCCTGTGTGTCCCATTGTGGAGACTACTTCACTTCCTGTCCCAGAGACGCAACAGGAAGTTAGAGGAACTCCGCTCTTGGGCACCGAAACAGCTGTGCCCAATGAAAGATTCTCCCACCTTCTGGTAACAAGTTTAACATATTGCATAGTCTATGACTTTGTCTCAGTGACAATGGACTCCTATACAGAGGGTGAATTTAGCTGGTGGGGGATAAACAAACCTGACAAGTGTTCCACCTTCCCTACTTTGAAACAAAAAGTAAACTGGCTATACATAAACTTTATGACATCCACCCATATAACGCAATGCTCATTCTACATTTTGAGAAAGTGTTCATATGACTAACATGAAAGACTAGATGTCTCCTTAATTGTATGGTAACAGATCTCTGTCTATCCTCACTGATCTGTAAAATCTAAACTCTCGCTTATTTAACCTGATAGTGAAAATGTAATGACGTGTTTTATCCCTAAGACCAGAGGCCACGACAAATCTAATGGGTACACAAACAGTAATAAAAAGCTGACAGAGGACCTAACCCTCCACATTTAATCTAAATAAAAAAGCTATGGCTTGAGTTAAACAAATTCAAAGCCATATTTGGTATATAAAATCTATTTTACAAATATGTGATATCAAGCGAGTGTGCGTACATTTCTGGTTGAGCTACTGGGCTCTGTATATTAGCATACAGAGATCATCAAACAGTAAAGTATTTCAAGACAAACCTTTTTCTTGCGCAAAAAGAGTAAGGATATGCCTAAAATCCACGTAAATCTTTGTGCTGTGTTTCCCACCAGAAAATGTAACTGTTACAAAGACCACACAAATTAAGGAAATCCCTTTAAATGTATCCAGAACAGGAATCCCTACTGGAAGATTAAGGGCTAGTTCACACCGTATGCAGTTGTGATGCAGTCCATTCAATTTGGCTGCTGCAGCCAAAATACCACACAATGCTTTCCTACGGGCTTTCTCGTGCTCTATTCACACCATTGCAGTCTGTTCCGATGCAGTCAGATAAAATGCTGCTTGTCCTATTTTAGCTGCATCGGATCGCACCAGAACGCATCAAAAAGGCATGCAAACGCATCAAAATGCACCAGAGCACACCACAAAAAAAAGAATTGTGTCATCATCCAAGGACTTCCTCTTTGTAGGTAATAGAGATATTGGAGCTATGGCCGATGTGGATGCTGACAGCTTCATAAAATACATGGTGTCCACTCCTAAGCATTCCAACCACAAAAACAACTGGCAGAAGATGGGAAAGTGGAGGGAAATAACTGCTCAATTATACCATATTATACCCTGAGTTTTCTGGTCTGAACAGGGTGCAAAAAGAAAAAAATGTGGCGAGTTCTTTCTCAGCAACTTTGATGTTTCATATACAGCCCAGCTAGATAGTTGTATACCACCTATGTACTAAAGAGTATGCAGAATAATCAGACACCACCATCTCCACTCACATGTTTGTTAAACACGGTCCTCCTTTTGCAGAAACCACCCCTCCCCCCTAACCTACCCTCCCTCTTTCCGTGTAGCAGGCATGCTGGTGTATCTTGTGCACTGTCCTAATGAGTTTATTGCTGTTGACATGGTGGCAGTTATTTCTTCAAAGTAATGTCATCTACAGTATATGCTTAAATGCAGTTAGCATTCATAGTTAGTGGAATGAAATTGCATTTTTAGTTGAAAAAAAAGCATCGGAACGCGTTAAAAAGTATCAAAAACAGATTGCAATGCAACTGCACAGACACGCATTTGTGATGGTTTCTGGTGTGAACTTGCCCTTAGCCTCACCTTCTGGAAAAGAAAATTACATTTTAAACGTTCATCAAGTCTTGTGGTATCAAATGGTTACACAATATTTGTTCAATGTAAAGCCTTTATCCCAAAAGGAAAAAATACAAAACTGTTGCTCTAACTGCTTAAAAGTGTTAACTGCAGTTCGGCTTTAATTTCTTAATCAACTCCATCCAACACTACCCCCCTCACAGGGCGACAGTGCTGCTGTGCAAGGGCGACTTACTCCTCTACAGAGTGGAGACACCTAAGGCCCCATTCACACTGAACGGATTGCCGCACGATATCCGCCGCGATATCACGAGAAGTCGCCGGCCAATGTTATTCAATGGAGCTGTTCTAATGTACAGCTCCATGTCACCCGTCGCGTCAGCAGGACCCTTTTTCCCCGCAGCTGTTGCGCTATTTTTCTATTTTGGAATGCAGCCCGACAGTGAAGGTCGCGCAATCGTCGCCCCGAACAGTCGCGCTATCCTGGCCGCGCAGATCCACTTGTAAGGTATGTTGCTTAGTGTGAATGGGGCCTAGGACCCCATTCACACTGAGCGATTTGTAGCGCGATTTCAGCTCCAAAATCGCTCAAATATCAGCTCAATGTAGCTTGTCCAATACATTTTAATGGAGCTGTTCACATCCCAAAGTCGACCGTAGCTCATCGCTCAGGCTTGTCGCTCGAACATGACCTATTTTTCGGCGGATTTTGTGCGATTTAACCCAATAGACTAATGGTGTAGCTCAATGTCGAGCGACATTGTCGCGCTACAGAAGTGTCACTTTTGCACAGAAAAATAAGGAACGAGGTCACATCATGACCGCTTTTGATTGGTTATAGCCCAATGTAGCAGCTACGAAGTCCCTGCGAGAAGTCGCACTATGTAGAGCGACAATGTCAATGTCGCTCAGCTCAAAATCACACTGAAAAAATGGATGTAGCTCAGTGTGAAAGGAGGTCTAAAAGAAGAGTGTTACTGGAGGGTGGCTACTTTTGTTCCCCCAAAACTTGTTTTTAAGGAAAAGGGAAGAAAAACCCCACCATTTAAAGTTTGACAAACGGATAAATATTTGATTTTGGGTTTCGATACGCATTTCCCTCACTTTGGAGAAATGTCCTCATGTCCTGTACAGGACACAAAGGGGTCTATTCACGAAGCTGCCGAAGGATCTAGCCGTAGCTTCGGCCGATCTTTCAGCTAGCTTCGGCCCCAGGACCCCTTCGGTTCAGTAGAACCGAAGGGCTGCTGTACGTGCCATTCACAATAGCCCGTACAGCTCCCAAACCTGGCCGAGCGGCTCAGTCGAGCCAAACGCATATGCATCAGCTCGGCTGAGCCGTGCTGAAAGCCGAAGCTGGCCGACAGCCTGCTTCTGACAGCTGGGCGGAGCCAGCCGTGATCTTACGTCTGGCTCCTAACACTTGCAGAGAGATCAGCGTCCCTGGTTACCTGCTAACCAGGGACACTGATCTCCAAACAGCCCAACTCTCCCTGGCGCCCCTGGAGTCTCCTGCTCCCGGCCACCAAGGAGAGAAAACACTGCTGTGTCTTTCTTTTTCTTTATTCTGACACGGAGCGATGTCAGAATAGAGAAAAAAAAAATTCCCATTGAAATACATTGCTACATTACCATTTGCTATTTCAATTTGCAATAGCCAACAGTAAACTTGCATTGTACCCGCCCTCTGCTGATGAACTGCAGCAGAGGGTGGGTACAATGCAAGTTTACTATTGGCTATTGCAAATTGAAATAGCCAATAGTAATGTAGCAATGTATTTCAATGGGAAATAATTTTTTTTTCTCTATTCTGACATCGCTCCGTGTCAGAATAAAGAAAGACAGCAGTGTTTCTCTCCTGGGCAGCCAGCTCTCAGAGCGCCCTGGAGAGTTTCTTTTCTTTTTGACAGCAGCAGAGCCGCCGGACAATAGGAAACTATTGGGCGGAGCTAACTGTCACTGCTAGCTCCGCACAATCGTTTTCTATTTACTTTTTAAAAACGTTTAAAACTCTTTTTCTGTTCTGCTCGGTACCTCTGAGGGACCGAGCAGAACAGCCGAGCCAAATGCCGCTCAGCGGCATTCGGCTATTCACTCACTACTGTTCGGCATCTATGAGAATAGAATAGACCGAACAGTGAGTAGCTTTGCCGGAGGGTCAGCTCAGCCGATCCAGATGTTGGATCGGCTGAGTCGAACTCCTTCTGCACTTCGGGTCGGCCGAACATGCTGAGCATGTTTGGCCGACCCGAAGCCATGTGAAGCAAGCCCATGTACGGCTGATACAACAGTGTTGGGCTCACTTCAGGTCGGTCATTCACTCGGCTGCCTACGGCAGCTTAGTGAATAGTCCCCAAAGTAACATTAAATCTTCCCATTGGGACACTTATGACAGGGGATTTCACTTTTCCTTACTCTATACAAACTTAGAAAGTGTTGGCTTTGATGTCTACACGACTTTAGTGATTGTGTTTATATCTGCTTTTGCAGCACCCAAACAGTTCTATTTTGTTTGATCCCCTAAATGACCTAATTACTACAAGTTACATTTCAATTGCATCACTAGGGACAATTACCTAAATGACATATAGGCTATACAAGCTTCACATTTCAGCTAGTTCCTGATGAAACAGGCAAAATTTGCTGCATGGGTACCGCTGTGGGCACCCTTCCGCTTCCCCCCTCCCTTTTAGATGTAAGCCCTCAGGGGCAGGCCCCTCCTTACCATCTTGTCTTGATTTGTATTGTGATTGTAATGTCATCCTTATATTGTAAAGCGATGCGCAAACTGTTGGCACTATATAAATCCTGTATAATAATCCCTCAATCAGCTGATCGAAAGAGCAGGTCAGAAAATGATTGGCCAAATGAAGCTGGCAGCCAATCAGCTGGGTATTCTAACAGTGGCTGGTGGCCGCTGTCAGAATAAAAAAACGAAACAGCAGAGTATTCCTCGATCATCATTCGTAAGCGTTGGAGATATCTGTTCTACTTTTTAGCTTTCAGCCCACAGGTTGAACGGAAAAATAAAACCGTATACCTCACCTTAGGCTACATTTACATCTTGAAAAATCCTATTTGTTTCTACAGTGCTCATTCACACCTGAACGCTCGAGAGAAAACGTCTGTCGCTCCAAGTAGTACAGGAGCTTTACAATACAGAATCAAGAGTAGACACTTAAAAATGCAAGTACAATGCACAAAATACTGTAAATCACCTGGCTATGCGCTCATGCTTAGGGGGTGAACGCAACCTTCGCCAGCTTTCACACCTGAGCAGAGCATTTAGTAATTTTATACCTTTGCATATACGCACATTAAGGCCTACAGCTTAAAGCCATGGACAGCCACAATAGAAAAGAAAGGAAGTGTAATGAGCTGTAATGTTCAGGTATACATGGGAGATCATTCACATGAACGATCACAATGATTAGCATTGAAGCTGTTGCCGAGCAGCCCAGACAACCCAGGACTCCTGTTATAGATTTAATCTCTGCACCACAAAAAGTCTTGATGTAACCTTGCACCAGCATTACATGGAGACCACAGGCAAATGACGAAAGGGACCGGCAAAGAGCCTGTATCACGTGAGCAGGATCAGCCTAGTGACCCTTCTATTGGGCATGACCTATTGAGCAGACCGCGCAGGTCTAGACAACAGGCTTCTCATATTACACACTGGAGTACGTGCTCACCAACCGATTTCCCCAGCAGCCGGGACATTGAAGTTACCTTGGTAAACAACCAGTACAGCCCGCTCCATAGTGGAACTATATAGGAGAAATACAGGTTGATCGGACCAGTACATAGTGCACACACAGCATTGCCCCCACTGCCCGGTCGTCAGCTGTACACAACACAAACTATACCACAGTACGAGTACAGTGCGAAGTACACCCGACTTAATCAGCTGACAGCGTACAGCCAAAGACAACTTCTCATTGGTCAATGCTGGCCAACCTTACAGAATAGGCTAGCGTTTGTGTGAGGGGTGTAAAAACATAAAATACCATCAAAGCCGTTTAGCACACACACACACACCTTCATAATCCTATGGGCGCAACATGACAGGCATCCAGGGTAGCAGTCCTCTCTGACTCTCGGGCAGGTACACTGATTGCCAACCACCCTAACGGGGGCAACGGAACAAACGGCTTCCAGGGCTGCGGGTGAGCGGTGTGCCGCGGGTGAGGAGAGGGCGCATAGTACGGTGTCTTCTACCATCTGTACTCCGCTCTACTCCAACTTGGAACTCTGCCCTTGTGCGGCTCCTCCCGCTGCCTTATTTATAGGCTCGCCAGCTGGAACCGTGGCTACGGTCTTCTCCGCCAATCCCGAGTCAGCATTGGCCGCAAAGGCTCTCGGGAAGTGTAGTCGCTCCCACTGTTGTTGCGATGCTGCAATCAATGTAAAGAGATAAACAACTTTTGTAGGCGATGTTCCAGGAGTCTGCGGAGGAACCAGCTCATCCTATTCCTCTGTGGTGTTTACTAGATGTTGGTTGTTCTAAAGGTGAACATACACTATATATATAAAGATATAGACATATATAGATATCTCTTTATAGATATATATCTTTATAGTGATATATAGTGACAAGTGTCTACCTATCTGGATGCTAATGGAATGAATTGTTTAGGTTTGTCTTCATATTACCTAGCTTTGGTACGTCTAAGGATAAGTCATTTTAATGGCACCCCAATGCACCTCCTGGCCACTGTGCATTGCAATACTGTACATTGCCATTCGGGTGGCATTCAAATAAATGGTAATCCAGTCAGGGCAGCCATCAGGGGGGTACGGCCAATACTCATATAAGGGGCCTGGGGGGCCCGCCCGGGACCCTTACATGAGTATCGGCCGACGTTGAAGAGCAAATCCAGTGCACAGAAACCTACGCATTAGGTTCGCTGCGCATTAGTGTGCAATAAACGCACGGTATCGTGCCTTTGGCACACCGCTTATGCTATGAACCAGCCCTAATGGAGATTGTACAATACAATGTGTATAGTGTATGGCCAGCTTTAAATCGGGTTCATATAGGAGATATTCCCTATTGTACTCTTAGGCCCCGTTCACACTGAGCGATTTATCGCGCGGTAATTCCCGCGATATCGCGATAACAGACAGAATAAGGAGCAGTTGCCCACAGTAACCAATCAGCGTCTATATTTAGTTTGTACAGTTAAGATTTGAAAATGAAAGAAAGACGCTGATTGGTTGCCATGCACAGCTGCTCCAGATTCTGTCTGCTCCAGTTATGATAAATTCCCCTCAATGTATACAGAGCGGATAGGGGCTTGTTTATGTTGGCCGGTTTTCTTTCCAGTTTTTGATTCGGATTATTGTACCATGCAGGAAGTTCGGCATTAAGGGCCAATTCACACCAAAACCGCACACAAGAGATACGTGAAAAAAGCGAACATGTTTTCACCGGGATAGCAGAGAAGACACACTTTTGATTCAAAAAGGGATGCATTCACACACATTGCGTTGTTACGCCTTTGCAGGCATTGCATTGTGAAAAAAAAATTTAGTCTGCTGTCCTTTTTAAAAATGCACATCAACACAACGCAATGGTGTAAGGCCTGGTTCACACCTGGGCGTTTTACAGCGCTGATCGACCCAGCGGAGATCACTACGGAGGCATACAACTAGCCTCACACCACTAGTCAAATTCAATAGGATTATATTACTATACAGCCGGGCTTCCTCCCAACATACCTCACCTTGGATAAAGCATCCTAGTAAAGTCGGCTGGACGATTGGTTGCCATCTTTCTTTGTGTAACCCTGAGGTCCCAGGTGTGACAATAAAAGAGATCGTTTAGGTGGCGGTGGGGTCATCTTGATTCCGCTCTTCCGATCCTCCAAGTGTCTCCCTTACTTCGCAAACAAACCCTGCATGATCTACTTTGGGTTCCCTGATGAAGCCACACGAAACGCGTTGGGACCTTTTAAGATAAGCCATAATAGGGGCTATTATATTATTAAAAATTCTGTGATCAATATGATGTCATTTTGAACACCTTGATTATATTAATATGTATGTATTATACAAGTGACTAAATTTGTACAAACAAATCCCATGCAGGATTTTGATTAAATGCATTTGATTTTTAACCATACAAATCACAAAATAAAATTTGATATATATTTTTAGCAATATCTCTCTTGGATGGTCAATTACACCCCTCCAGAAACCCTATCATTTTCTACTTTTTCCCTAAGTGCATCTACCATAGGGGGAGAGGTGTTAATTAGGCGCCCACAGGGAGGCAACCCACGACCTATAAAATTATTTAATTTAATGTTATTTTTAAAAACTGTTTTTTTTTTTTAAACTTGAATTGCTATCACATAGGGGGGCTTACAAGCCCCCCATGTGATAGCAGATGGTGGTGACAGGTACTCTTTAAGGTGATACTGGGGGTCCAAAAGACCCCCAGTGTCACCTTTACACTCTAAATAAGCTATTGAAGTGCACATCGCACTTCAATAGCTTACAGCTGAGCTTCAGGCGCCGAGCACTGACAGCTATGGGACCGGAAGGGATGCAATCTGCATCACTCCCGGTTCCATAGAATGGGGAGGGGATCGGCGAACGAACATTCATCCATCTCCTCCCAAGCTTCCCGCCAAAACCAAAGAAGCCGGTCCCGGGCCCTTAGGAGAGGCAACGGAGCCTGGGAAACTAGGCGGGGGTGTCGGGGGGGGGGACCCGTTCACCGACCCGTAGAAGTGATCTGGCGGCAGCTGAGCTGTCAGAATAGCTTCTACTGTAAACCCAACAGTCGGCTTTACAAGTTGAAACAGAGTCTGTTTAAACAGCCCCGATGCCAGTGACGTACACTGTACATCGCTGGTCATGAAGGGGTTAATTGTTTTGTTTTTGTTTATTATTGGGTTTTGGGCTGCGTTGTGCAATCCCATGGCGGCACTGAAAAGATTAAGGGCCTGTTTACACATACTGCGGTAACCTGCGTTCAGCGCACATCACCACAAGGACACATAGAAAACCATTGTTTTCCTACCAAAATGCTGGTGTGATGGGTGTGGTGCTGCGATAACATACAAACATGCTGCATTTTATTGCATGTGCACTGGATGCCACCACAGGTCACCGCACGGCAGCACCCCATTTTGCTGTGCACACATTGTACACTTTGTATAAAGTTAAAAAAAAACAAATTTAAACAGTGATACGATGTGAACCGAAAAGGTTCTACTTGAGATATCTGTATGAAGCTTCAAGGATGTTAAAGGAGAACTATGGGGTTAAGGCTTTTCCCCATAGTTCTCCTTAGGGTAACGGGAGGACACAAACTAGCGTCCTCCCGTCACCCTAGACAGGAGGACAATTATGTCTGGATCCGCCCAGCTGCGTGACTGACAGCTGGCTCTGCCTATCTAGACAGTGTTCATATCTAGTTTACAACTGATAATGAGATCGACCAGCACAGTACAGACAGGGTTCATTATGCCTGTACATGTACAGTACACTCCATCGTAAATGCGAATGATCGGAACTCGATCGATCGCAACCAGAGGAGCATCTGTATGTGAATCTGGGTAGCTATATTTGCTCATTAAATGCTCAGGATTTGCTACAAAATAGTTGTGTTCTACTGCTCCTTCTTACAGTATAAATCTGTCGGTGCCACCAGCTTGTTAAGCTGGCCATACACGGACCAAAGAAGCCAGGTGGAAAAATTGTTGCCCAAACAATGACTGCAGTTAATCAGTTGTAGTCACTGCTTGAAATTCTGAAATCCACAGATGCTGGCAGTTTGAATACAAGAGCCAGCAAGGGAGGGTATGTCATCCACGCAAGACAATTTCTCTCATTCAACCCATGAGGGTTCTATGTCCTGACATATATCCCAGGTGGCTGCAGAAGTGAGGACACAGAGCAACTGGTGAGCAGAGCAGTGCGTGTCACCGGGAGCTGGCTGCCTAAAGCTAGAGGAGGCACTCAATTCTCGATGACTAAGGGGTACCAAGGCAGCGGCATGGGACCTGACCTGTGTCATCTGAACAGCAGATCGCAGCGGGACCATGCTGAATTTGCTGAGCAGGTGAGTTTGTGAACCGAGGACAATAAAAAGGTGAGAGGAGTTAAAAAACAAATAAGGGGGGGGGGCAAGGTCCCTCTTTAAGCTGACCATGCACTTTAAGAGCATGGATGGAGCAATATTCCGACACCTGTGGCTGTCAAAATACCTTAACATTGACTGCAGCTGATTGGCTATAGTCACTGTTTGATCGACAATATTCCACCTGGCTCTTTCGGCAAAAGTCTGTGATAAAATTGGACCTTTTTCTTCTTGAGTGGTACCGACAGGGCCAACCCATGAATCGAATTTAGCCCGATCCAACGGGAAAGGGGGTGGGGGGGATTCAATCTGTGTATGGCCAGCTATAAATCTATGGGTATCTTCAGACAGAGTGTTTACCAGACAAATTCATTTATCTGCTGAAGATAATAATATTTACACAGAATGACTGAAATACAAGGAAAAGACCAACTCAGCAAGTTTAGCGTTTAGGTAAATATCACAAGCCAAAAACACCCAGCCCCTATATGAGCACAGCTATCAAAGGTTCTGTCACATCTGCCAAAATAAACAGTTCTAAATAGTGATGCATTCCGAAAATATTTTTCCCTTGTATAAGAATAAATGGACATTCACTTTTTTTTAATGTACATGCTCTTGAATTATGATTGAGGGCTCCATTCACTTAACCACCTCTGAGCCGCAATACGTACATATACGGCGGGCCGCAGAAGTGGTTAAACCAAGAATACGGCTGCTGCAGCCGTGTTCTTGGTGTCATTTTAAACACCCGGCGATGGCTGTTGAGGTACAAGCGATCCGGCATCTATACAGCCGCCGGATCGTTTAATCTCTCCTCTGATAACTGGACCCGGAAGTGATGTGTATTACATCACATTCTCCGGAGGAGCACAGTGGCGGCGGGGGAATAAAATAATCGATAATGAGAATTGTTGACAACGATTCCTATTATCCATTATAATCAATTTTATCGATTAGTTGTTTCAGCCCTAGCTCTTACAGCCAGGAGAAGAAACTGGAGAAAGAGATCTCTGTTCCTCACCTTCTTTGGGGTCCCTAGGAAACATTAGGGGTCTGAAAGACCCCTGATGTCTCCATAAAGAGGACCTGTCACACCTTATCTGCTA